CCATAGAATTCCACTATAATTTATCAAGTTTCGTAACTAAGCTGTATTTCAGTCTAAAAAAATATGAAATTTGAAACTAAAGACACAACCTACCTCCTAGTAATCTTGGTTCAAAAGAAAGAAAGGGCATTTAAACACGTTAAAATAGCTGAGAAAGCCACTAGGGGGACATTCTGAGCTTCTGACTCGTTATTCATGTCATATATAGAGGTATGTGTATATAAGGGTGTGTTCCCAAAAATTGAAAGAGGTGTTTGATTTATTACATGAGCAATATCTTAGCAAACTGAGAAGATAAGAGGCTCTTAATTTATATTGTAGCTTGTCAATATTGGTAATTTGAGTTCCTAATAGACTTAGTATTTTGACATTACAAACATCTAATTTGAACCAGTGCTGCATTCAACATACCACATGACAAAGAAAAATCAATGTTTAACTGTGTTTTCTTTATATTTACTTTTAAATTAAGAAATTGAGTAAGGTATAATACTAAAATTTGAATTATAATCTACAGTTTGATACCAAACTTACTGACATAAATTCATGAAATATTAGTTCAATAAGTAAAAATAATAATGTATAAAATAATTTTTTGTTCAGGTTGTAAACAATACACATACATAAATCTTCTCACCATCTTAATGAGAAATTCACATAATTTCATATTTAATATTTTTTCTACTTTTTAAGACTGACTAAAAAAACAAATTACTCTATTATAAAATCTACCTTAACAACATTACTGTTACTTCTAGAAGGACTTGGGTAGAGGAATAAATTCTCAATACTACCAGATGCATTAATTTGCATCAGAGCGAGTCAGTTTTCTAACCAAATATTCACTTTTATGACGTAAAGCCATAAAACAGGCATCTCTGATACACAAATCAAAAATACTATAATGACATATTTTAAACACAAAAAATCAAAAACTAACCTCCTTCCAGGGTAACCTTCGGAATATTTGTTATGTAAACAAGAGCCTAATGACTGCAGCACTGCAAGACTCGTAAAATTCTCTGAAGCAATCATTTCAAGCCCTTTCTTCTGTCTTTGTTTTTCTTTTTGAATGAAACCATACAGTTCAGGATCTGATTCATCAAGGGGTTGGTTAAGATACCAACTATCTACACTTTTTAGACCCACAACAGACATCCTTACTGCAAAGATTAATTAAAACAACATCAGCATCTACAGTTTACAAACATCTCCAAGTAATCTAAATAGCAGCATGAAAAAAAAAAAGTATAATCAACTTTCTACTGGAACTTTTATTTGACAACTTCCACAACTTGGATGTCACAGAAACAAAATATCTGTACAACTTTGGTATTTTTAAAGCTTCTTTGTTCCTTATCCATTCTGTGGTCTTTTTAAATGAACCAAAAATACTTTAGAGCTATATTAGATAAGTCTTCCAAAATATGGAATTACAAAACAGTGCTGAACTTGAATAGATTTAGTTAAGGCTAAGGATTGGTTTGTATTTCGTGCAAAGCTACACGAGGGTTATCTGCACTAGCTGTCCCTAATTTAGCAGTGTTAGACTAGAGGGAAAGCAGCTAGTCAACACCACCCACTGCCAACTCTTGGACTACTCTTTTACCAATGAAAAGTGGAATTGACTGTCACATTGTAATGCACCCATGGATGAAAGTGCAAGGATGTTCAGTGTGACGGGGGATCGAACCTGCAGATTGCATAAAGCTAAGGAATGACCAGAATGAACATGATGCGTAAAACTAATTTTATTAAACACAACACAAAAACTGTGTGTATATATCACTTAGGGCACAATGGATGGTCACTTCTTCACTTAGTTTTCTCTCATTGATCACACAGTGAAAGTCAGGTCAAGATTAGGAGTTGACTAAAAATCAGACTAACTAAATATTAGGTTACTACCTTTAAAGAAGCTTCACATTTATCCAGCAAGATATGCACTACCACATTATGGTGATTTTCATTACACAAAGGTAGGGCTGTATCTTCTACATATTACCTTTATAGCCATCAAAACACAGTGCTGTCAACTTCCTGATATAAAGTCACTGCAAGCAATCTTCTCCAATGTTCAGTTTTATCAAACTTATTTAACTCCAAAATTTATGTTTATCAAAATTGATAATGAATATTTTGTTACTATCAGGTCACAGCCATTTCTCAAATTAATCATTTAAAAATAATTTCTCAGCTTTAAAAATGAAAGAAAATTTACATTCCATAAATCTTTTAAGCCTTTCTCTTATGAAAAGTTAGGTTAGAAGGATGACATTTAGCTTTCAATAATGACTAAATAACAACTAAAAACATTAGAAAAATTGCACAATTCAATTTATGAAAATTAAAAAAAAAATCAGTACAAAGGATTTAAACAATGAAGCAACTCATTAATTGTGTGATGAATAGAAAAAGAACTTTGAGAAATTTAAGTTTTGAGAATTTCAAAGTTAATTTTGGACTTTAAAAATATATTAAACATTAACTCTCTTAGCTACTTTGAAAAGTATTTTTATGAAACTTCAATAAGAAGACAAATGTTATAATTATTTTATTAGACAAACACACCTTCCATAACTGAATATACAAAACTGTTCTTATACAAACAAATAATTTGATGAAACCTTATATCAAACTGGACAAACAGAACTGATTCCCACAACATGTGTTATAGTAAGGTTTTTTTCTGCCAGAAATTTTGAGACCACTCAATAACAGTTTACATTTCCAAACCTAATTATTCTTTTATTTTACACACACACACGTATATAATACATAAACAGCTTTTAATCTGTACTACAGTGTATATTAAAATGTTCAAAAATAATTACCTGATATAAAAAAGAAAAATAACTATGATTACAAAAAGCACTTGGTCAGTACAAAGTGCCATTCTGGAACATATATATAAGATTCAACAAGACTAGTACTAACAGTCTAATACTATTATAATTATTAATGTATTACCACTATCAGTTAGCAGGCCAAACAACTCACAATATTATAAAAGGTATAATACAGTATTTTTGGTATCTATCTACAGAATTATATTTGAAATACCTGCACTTGAAATTAAGTTGAATCCTTTTTCATCTTAGAAATACTAAGTGACTGAAATATGGCTCTTAATCATTTAAAGTTAGTCTTACTCTTAACTTACAATAGAGCATATTGATTGTTTTTGCACTAGGACTCCTACTCCTAAGTAGGAGCAAAACTAAATTATAAAAAAAAAGGATAAGAATAATGTGACTTCAGTATAGTGTACTGGTAGTAGTACTTATAATATAAATATTACTAGCAGCAGTAGCACTGTCGGTGTCACCGTGTAACTACAAATCAGCATAAATAATTTCAAGGAAATTAATACTCAACTTGGCGTATACTAATAACTGTACTTGCTAGAAGTAGTAAAGACAAACGTCTTAACGTATCAACAGGGGACAGTCGAGAGAATGAATGAACACTATTAAAATATTTTAAATGTGTTGGAAAATACCCGCACTCGTGACCACACTACACCGATTTGTAAAACTTGTCAACGTGACTTAGTAGAAGGCCCTCTGTCATTTAAAAAGGGAGCAGAAAAAATAATTAGATCATTTTAAAAATTGAAAATAAAATAATTTGCCACAATTAACAATAGAAAGGCGCATATTAAGGCACAATTCAAGATATTATAATTATAGACTGTATTATATTTCTCAATACTGTGTGTAAGGTAATCACACATCTGTAATAAAATGTTCTCATTCCGACCAACTTAAACAACCCGGAGATCCACAGACCAACCGCCACTGTAGATTAGTAACTTATGTAAAAAACTTAATTTGGTGCCAATGATAATTACAAGAGGAAAAATTAAGTCACCAAACTGATCTTTTAAAGCTTTCCTTGCACATACACACTAAAAAAAGCAAATATTTAAAACAACACCCTTTATATTTCGGGATATCATCGATTTCCTTGTTTGTTTGTTTTTGAATTTCGCGCAAAGCTACACGAGGCCTGGTTAAGGCATTCGACTCACAATCTGAGGGTCGCGGGTTCGAATCCCTGTCACACCAAACATGCTCGCCCTTTCAGCCGTGGGGGCGTTATAATGTGACGGTCAATCCCA